ACAGGTTACAGACGGGCCCAGGGTGACCGGCAGGGTTATTACTTAAGAAACCCATATAACGTCAAAAAAACGACAAAATGACAACCTGCTGACTAGATAGTTCCCTACAAATAGTTCACGCTCAATGACCAGCTGCAAGTCAGTTCCCCAGCATGCTTTGTTGGTTGCAGAATGCCGAAATAGATCTGGATGATTGTGTGTTGGTCTGCAAGTGTATAAATTTGCTATATGAGAAAATTATTTCTGGATATGCTGCCCATGAAGTACATGTATAGATTAACATTTGCCCCTTTTTTGTGTTTTGAAAAACTTTGAGAAGCATCGCGGGTAATAACCACCACGCCCGCGTTGTCTGTAATTAAGCCACATCACAGAAAAATTAAGAATGACGCATAACACACATTTTTGCAGTGCCTCACATCTAGGCGCTGATTTGTATTTCCTACTTGACATCGCAAAATAAATTTCTATAAAATTTACGAGACTGTGGCATATTTTCTCACCTGTTGGTTGTAATATAAGTTACCAACCAGTGATTTGCTATTCTTATCCCTCTCATTTTTGAAATGCAGCAAATTTACATAGATATGTAATTTTAAGACGAATAAGTGAATTATCATCAACACAAATCCTCACTAGGCAGCTATGCTCTGTCGTTTACAGCCTAGACCTCCAATCCTGCCATCCCTGAAGCATATTATGTTACATTACATCAGAGCCAAACCATGATATCTGAAGCGTCATGACGTTTAGGCAACATGCACAGCTACGGAACGAGTGCACATCAAGTGAACAACAGCTAGTTCTAAGTTGACATCTTGTAGAAAAACCTACATAATGTCACTTTTTAAGATATGTAATACGCCTGTGGACAGACCGACCGACAGACTGACATGCAGAAATGAGTAATGATGTAATACCAAACAACCAAAGATCTCATGTCTTTTTTTCTTATGTCGTAGGAAGTAAGAGCCTCGTCATTTGGCAACTATGTAGAGACGCAGACGATAGGTTAAGCATTTTTAAAGCCTATATGCAGCGTATATACTATTACTGCGTTTACGGAAGCGAGTCTTGTGTTTTGCCGAGTAGAAACCATGATTTAAATGATATTTAAGTCATTTGTTGATAAAACTGCGACTTAGCTACTTTTAAATTGGCATAACCCATCATGACAGCTTAGCCATTACTGATAGACAGAAAAACGAACTCAGACTAGGTAAAAATGCTGGTGTGATTCCTCTTTCCTTTTTTTTTTTTAAATTAATTAATCAATTAATAAATCACTATAAATGAAGTATAAGGGTCAGTCAATGCAAAACAGTTGTCTAGTAGCGTGCAAATTTCGGCCCTAGCTCTACAAAGCGGGGAGTAGGGGAGGGTTAAGAGCGTCAGTGACTTAAGACGGATTAAGCCACAAATCCCCGAGGTGTCAATCGGAACTTGTTTTGCCTGACCACCCACACAAAAGAAAAATCTAACAGTGATGAAAAACCTAATTCATTGTACACAGAGAGCCAAATAAAACAAGACATTTGCAAAATCACAATATATTATCAAAAACAAGCAGAACATTATTGTTCCACCACTGAGTGCAAAACATTTACCATGGTACACGAACGAAGACTTTACAAATATAGGCTTCACAAATATTTTATCACCTAAACCTAAGCTTATCTGGATAGTGGTCTTAACTGGATAATAATCTTATCCCAGTTACAGAGATCCACAGCTCATGAACGCTCATGTCAGAAATCAGTGGCCAGCAGTGGGCAGTGACGTGAAGAACGTCACAAGATAAGGGCTGGTTGCCCCTCTTCCCAAAATTTACGGTATAAAAAAACCCTAGAGAGAAAAAGGCTGTTTGAAAATCTACTTTATATTCTCTGTCTGAGACAGAACTACACATTCAAAACACTCAAAACCTTAAGAACAATCCATGTACATTCTCTTTCTCAAGAAAAGTAAAGCAAAAGTCAGAAAAAATTTACTAAAGTGACATACCCTCAAAAAGTTTATCCCCTGTTCTAAAGTTATGGCAGCTCAAAATTCAAAATCATGATCAATGTAATGTAGCAGGCCCAAAAGAAGGTGACGTGTAGGCACTACTCTTTATTTGGATACGAAAAATGTCAAACAAAATCAAGTTCACCCTAAGAATTTCAGTCAGCAATAATTAATATCAATATCGACAAAATACCCAATTTAAACGATATTTTACCTGTTCACATCAGGGTTTTTTGTCAAAGGGAAGAGGTGGCTTCCAAGAAAATCGGCTGCGAAACAACTACAAGGCAGCTACAAAACAAAGCTGGGGGACTGTGAATGGTGGTTCTCCGCAATGCCTTTCGACTAAAAGGAAGCAGATATTGAACAAACTTCTCCATGACATCCATTAATGGACGTGGTCCGATGGTATACAAATGAGAACTTACCGCTGGAAGTAAAAATCCCTTTAGAAAATGGACGGGGTAAGACCCAAAGCAACACAAGGCATTAGGCAGCAGCGGTGGCCGCAGTAGTAGACTCTTCGGTCTCCAGATCAGTTGCCGTACGCTGTGCGGGTTCGAGTCCCGTCCCAGGAGAAATTTTTCTCTTGGCTATGGATGTTGTGATTGTCCGTAGGTGGTAGATGGTCTCTGACTGTCGAACGCGGAGGTACCACCCGGCGGTTCTCGTAGGCGGAGCCAGAATGTGTGCATGTTGCATGCACACGTGTTCCCTCGCCAGAGTCCGTGTGGCGTCCCCCCCCTTTCCCATGTATCCCCCTACAGCCCCACGGTACCCAATGGGTGCTTAGGCCTTAGGCCTTCGTGGTAGTTGGAGTATATAAAAAAAAGGTAAAAGGGTACTGCTCCATAAACTATTGTTTGCGGCGTTAATATTCCCAATCTGGAAGTTACCGAAGCGACACCCACACCAAAATCTCTACATACAAGTAAATGACGGAGTACACCTCACTTTTCAAAAGAAGGTTAAATGAGTGGCCTTGAAGAAGGTATGTGCGATAGAAAATCAAAAGGACGGAGAAAAGCCGGTAAGGAAGGTATCTTGATAGGTAAGTAAATATTCATATACGGCTAGTACGTGTAGAAATCACAAGGTGGCGCGCTGGTTGCCAGTGGGCAAAACCAACTCTCTCTAAGAGAAACCAACAAAATTTTATGAGGAAATTTCAAATATAGTCGTTAATAATACTATAACATTTGTATCTGAAAGATTTCAACACAATACTGAGTCGCTGAGAAAGAAAGATAGGATACGTGTGAAATTATACAACCGATAAACTATGAAATTTTCCAAAAGAAAATCATTAAAAAGAGTTTAGCCTAGGAATAGGTATTCTATAATCAATAAAGAGAAATTCAAGTTAATGGTAAGTGATCAAAATAGTGAAAAAAAGGTTAGGTACGTGATTTTGGCAATAAGTAGGTGCCCTAATAGCACAAATACGTTTCAAAAACGTGATCGAAACGACCCCATACGGCAATGAGTGCGCATTCTTATGGCCTAGGAGACGTTCCCGGTAGGTCGCGTAAGTCGCAAAACGTTCCAGAGACTCCTGGGAACAAAAAAAAAATCGGTTCCAGGAAGGTTGCCGTTGGTTGGCCCAGGATCTGATGAAGTGGACCTTTCAGGGACGCATGCCCTTGTGGCGGGGGGATAAGAATGTAAACATTTTGTAGGATGCTAACCCGGTTTCGTTGCTTTGGCTAATAACGGTACATTTCCTCAAAGTACATATCCAAAATAAATTTGAACACAACATTTATTTCGATTTTTGGTTTCATACTTAGAGATATGTGATTTCCGTAATTTGTCATTTGGAAAGGGGAGTCAGAGATACAAAAGCACAATAACTTTCTAGGTATACACTATTTCGTATAATAGGGAAATTAGTATGTAGACACCTACCAGCATTTGGTCATGCATATACAAACTACCTATTTATCAATGTGTATCAATAAAATTCTTACAAATGTCTAAAATATTTTATCATTGAATACATATATACTAAGAATATACACTGGAAGTCAGTAGCCAAAATGAAGCCCAAATATCTTGAGGTCAGGTTTTTGGAAGATTTTGCAATTTCTATTATAAGTATAACGAAATGTTAAAGCAATATTAACCAAACCAAAGTTATGTGCATTGGGTTGATGCCGAGTAAACTTCGGAATATCTGCAAGCTGAAAAAGACAAATCTAATCCAATATCACACATTGACACATTAATATATATAATAAGGAAATACTTATGCAATAATAAGTTGCGGATATAAAAAAAGTTAGTTAAACGAAACTGTGCTTATCTTAGATTAAAGTGAACTTGAGAAAATCACAAAATTTGTTACAACCGCAACAAGCCAAATTGGGAGACCGACAGAACAATGACGCCCTCCACACTGCGCATGCATCGCGGGGATCTGAGCATGGCAAATTCAGATTATGATTAAGGCATTGAAAATATTTTGCATAACTGCTAAATTAGGATTTGATGTTTCCTTGCTAGACGAAATCCAAATCAAACATTACCTCTGGCAAATGGCAACACTAAAGGTCCCACAATCAATGTTACAATTGAAACTGAGCAAAACGGTATCATTCATTTTCTAGATGTTTCTTTGTTACATCAGTATATAGAAAACCAACACATACTAACAGATATCTGCATTTTGTCTCAAATCACGCAACGTATACAAAAAAATGTTATAAAATGTTTATTTGGCAAAGCCAAACAAATATCATCAAATCGTTCAATCTTCGATGCGTTTTCTTGGAAACGATACTTTATAGTAACGGTTATCCTCAAAATTTTGATAAAGCTCCAATTTAAAGACTTAACTTTCCAGCTATACCCCCATTATGGCTACCAACCACTAGTACACTCTGTATACTATACGTAAGGTGTTTATCCGAAAGTCATAGAGGTGTTTGCAAAAAAATAATACTAGAACTGTCTTCAATAACAACTAACACACTAAGATCCCAACTGTGTCAGACAAAACCTGCTAATGAAAATATAGACACAAAGAATTCAATATATAAAATAGACTGCGACTGCGTTAAATGCTACATCGGTGACTCATCAAGATCGGTTAAATGTAGAATGAAAGAACATAAAGACTATATATAATAAAGAGAGATATCTTAATATCGCCACTAAGCGAGCATGTATGAGAAACAGGACATAGGAAAAATGGGAGGAAGTCTCAACACTACATAAAGAGGATAACATTTACAAAGGGAATGGACCGTGCATTTTTTATCCAGGTATTTTCTCTAGGTTTGCTATTGGAAATCGAACGTGCAGAGTTTCTGCTTTGCGATCTTAAGGCCAAACTGTTGTGCCTTATATTATTCTCTTACAGGACAAATAACATGGTTATTCGGTCTCGAAGTACGTATTTCTCGCGATTCAGATCCAAAACAATGCACTTACAAGGGCTTTTGGCGTATTTGGGATGGGATATTGAAAAGAAAAAACAAACGAGCTGTCACCTGGAAGACACAAATAAAATAATATATTGTCATTGTATTGAAGTAGATCACTCTCAGATTATACCTGTATATTTATCTCTGAGAAAATTTTGAAAAAGAAAAGTTGCTTGAGTAGCAAGATCGAATTTGGGTGATTATGTGTATTGGTCTGCATGTGTATGAAATCGGTGATATTTGCTATGTGAAAAAATTATTTCTGACTATGCTGCTAATGAAGTATATCTATGAGCTGTGCCCGACGGGTTATTTATATGTTGTCCTTTCTATAATAATAATAATAACTTTTTAAGATTCATAAATATTTCTGTCTGTAGCATATTTTCTCACCTGCTACTTGTAATATACTTCACCAACCAGGGATTTTCTCTTCTTATCTCTCTCATTTTTGATGTGCAGCAAGTTTGCATTATGTAATTTCCAGAATGAACAAGAAAAAGTGGATGCGCAATTACTTTCTGGCTTTGAATACATATCAAGTAAGTGCATTCGAGACAAGAAACCAATGGAATTATCATTAACACAGATTATTGGCACACAAAACCCCCACTATGCATCTATGCACTGCCGCTTCCTTCCAGCTATAGTGCTTAGACCTCCAATAATGCCATCTCTGAAACTGATGTTACATCACATCCGAGCCAAACATTTATAACTAACGCATCATGACGTTTAGGCAACACGTACTGCTACAAAACGATTTCACAACAAGTGTACATTAGCTAATGACAATTTGACATCTTGTAGAAAAAATTACGTTATGTCTTCGCAGACCTACAAAATGCCAAAAAAAGTGCAGGTATTACGTATCTTGAAAAGTAAAATTAGGTCAGTTTTTTTAACATGAGGCTTTTTAGGTTTTTTACATAATACCCCTGCCGCTTCAGCTATTAATATTTGGCTCTGATGTGTTGTACTAATAATATGTGTTGATGATAATTCCAATGGTCTCTTGTCTCAAATACACTTTCTTGAGATTCAAAGCTAGAAATTACTTGCGCATCCACTTTTTCTCAATCATTCTGGAAATTACATATGCAAATTTGCTGAATTTCAAAAATGAGAGAGATAAAAGAAAATCCTTGGTTGGTGATGTAACATGTGAAAAAAATATGCAAAAGACAGGAATACTTTTGAAAGTGAAAAGATTAATACATTATTTTTTATTTCCAGTCATTTAAATTTTATAGAAACTTATTTTGAAATGTCAACAGAAAATACAAATCAGCGCCTAGATGTGAGGCACTGCGAAAATGTTTGAAGTGTGATGCGTCATTCCTAATTTTTCTGTGATGTGCCTTAATTGCACTTAACGCGGGCGCGGTGGCGATTTTCCGTAATGCGCCTCAAAGTTTTTGAAGTCACAGAAAAACGGGAAAAATCGTAATTTAAAACTTTGAACATAACCTGTCTTCAGAAAAGACAACTATAATGCTACTACATATAAAAAATCTGTCGGGCACAGCTAATAGATATACTCCATTGGCAGCATATTTAGTAATGCTTTTTTGTACCCTAAAAAGTACCTACTTTGCAAGATGAAATACCATTGTTTTTTTACGTTTTATAGGTTTTTTACATAACAGCCCTGCCATGCCTAATGCTTCACTTTACGGTCCCTGCAGACAATTCCTAGGGTGTTTGGTCTCTCCCTTATGTCATGCATAACCTTGCCTTCAGCAAGCTACGACACCGTGGCCGTATCGGTATCCCTCAACGGGCACCCTCGCTCTGTTTTGTTAATTTCTTCTGTTAATTACCTGGGTACTATTTTAAATTTGAATCTCGCTGTGCATCTTTGACAATTCCCATTACAAGTATTTGAAAAATAAGTTAAGCTGTGCTTTCTACGATGAAGAGTATTAACTGTAGACATTAGTGTTCGGAGCAAAGTATAGTGGCTTTATAGGGACGGTGGCGACAATAGATCGTCAATGTTTTGATTGGTACCGCCATTAAGAGGCAAACTTTGTGTTCTTTACCTTTGCTTGCATTGTGGGCAGTGCATTTATTTCTGTAAATTTGGACTATTAAATGCGGTCCATATTTTAAAGAGGTAATGATCGAATATTAGTTATCTGTATAAATAGGTGTATTAGGATTTGGCGAGATATTTTACGAATAGTACTAGTTAATGGTTAAATGGTTAAATACCTAGGTACTTTTTTAACCTGTTTTGAATCTTGTGGCTAAACAAGTGGATAAAAATTCAATTTTCTATTGAAATATCTCCTTATTATTATGGTACTTATAAAAAGATTAGACTCAATGTGTTTACTAGGAGAAATAGAGCCTTCATTAGTAATTGGTTTAAATTTAAATGAATGTTTTTGTACCAAAGTTTTAAAACAAGATGCCAGGGTGTGCAGCAGTAGGATGCACAGATTCCGCTTCAAAGGGATTTTTGATGAAACGGTTCTCAAAGGATCCCCATTGAGAAAGCAGTGGGCAGCAAAAGTGAAAAGGGGAAGATGGCAACCAACAGATTCCTCAACTGTATGTGAGGAGACAAGCTAGTATAATGAAATAATGAATAATATACCTATTTTGTTTAAATTAAAAAATAAAGACGAAATAGAATATACTATTGAATTGATGAAAGTTGTAAAATTAGAATCTACTGATGAATATGATATTTTCGTAAAAGTTACATCCTAATCTTTATTTTTAAAATAAGAAATGAAATATTTGCGATATGCGCTAAAGTATACCTACCTTCATTGTTTTTCAAATTTTTGTTGATTTTGTTTTAGATTCACTTTGCTCCAGAAATGTGGAAAAAAGTGAGAGAAGATAGGAAATTGAAGAATAATGCTTATCCAACAATTTTCTCTTTCACTAAAGCCAAACCTAAGAGAAAGCCCCCGACACAAAGAGAAGCTCCTGCAAGTGTCTCACCTATTGTTGTGGATAACGAAGAAGAAATTGTTGATCCTACTTCTACAAAAAAAATGACAGTTCCAAGTAAATCACACTCTTTTGACTCCTCTGAAAGTCAAGTGTATGATGCTGATATGTCTAAATCCCGGATACCCTTTAATACATTGGGCAGTTGTTTTCAGGAAGCTCAAGTGATGAAAGAACTATGTCAGGATCTGCTGTGATATGGAAATACTTTGACATAGTTTGTTCTTTGTTCTCAAAATATTAATGTGAAAGATTTTTTTGTTAATGAAATGAAAGAAATAGTAGATACCTAATATATTAAATTGTCATAATGTTGAGCAAACATTTGTTAGTAAATAGGTGGTTTTTATACTAAAATAGCTAGTAAGAAAAAAGTTAATATACCTACTTAATAAATCTGCAAGTAAGTCATCAAGATAAAAGTTGTAACTAATAAATATTTATTTTGTTACACTTAGTTTTTGTTCTGAAACTAACTTCCAAATATGCGAATTATTGCAATGGTTTCTGATTTGCCTTTGTTTTTATTTTTCAAGAAAAAATATCTACTGGTTTTGCTTATTACAAAAAGCACAAGTAACTTTCTTAATGTATTATTTTATAACATTGTCCTAAACCTTAACATAAATAAGAAACACTGTATGGCCTCTTCTCCATGCAACTGCAGAAATTTGTAACAATAAAAATAAATACGAAAAAGAAAAAGCAAAAAAATAACCCTTAGTCAGATTTTTAGGGCTTTAATAAAAAAATGCTTTTAACATAAAATAGCCTGCAGATTTCAGTTTTTTTAAGATCATACCAAGTCAGTTAAACCACGGAAAATTGAGTAAAATATAAGAAGTCATCACTTTAGAAAACGCGTCCACATTTACATTAACATTTTTTGTTGACTTCTACATATGTTTCTTTAACTAGTTGGTAAATAATGATAAGTATAATGACTTTAGGGGCTAATTTGTTAATTAATGAATTTTCATGAGAGAAATTTTATAAAGTATGTAAGTGTTTACAAAGCAGAATTTTATTTCCAAAATTAAACTAAGAAAGTGATAAATATAGACCTATCAATAAATAGGTGCCCTCGATAAAGCTAACAAGTTATGTCTCCTTTACAAGTAACAACTAGAACATAAGGTGCTCTAAATAGTAAAAGTCATTTTGCTTCTGTGTTTATAAACATTATTTATTTATATTATTATAATAACCTTAATCATTTATTTAAAAGCAATTAAATTGCATCCAAGATCTGCAGTTGAAAGCATCGGAAATACCAATCAAACGGACTCATACTGGACCTAAATCTGACGTTTCAGAACGGAGTGTGCTACTACTGTATAGCCAAGCATATGATTAAATCATTACATAAGAAGCAACAATTTCCTTGAGAAATCGTTACCTTGACAAGGACACCTTCCAACACTCGTATATTCCCGTAATAAAACTTTGTAATTAGCAGATTCATTAATAAGTTTGTTATGTTAATCACGCAAGGTAAGAAATACCTATTCTTTAGCATTCATATTTTGACCAACAATCATTTACAAAGCGAAGTAATGTAAATTATTGACCTAGAGGGGCATGACTATATGCTTCATGCCCCTCTAGGTCAAATATGGGAACGCGAATAAACCGAGGAAATAGGTGTGCCATAAAACGGAACAGAATTGCAAAAGTAAGGTGCGAAGCTATGTTAATTTTCACGGTACGCCTTAGGACCTCTCCTCTTTTTGATTTTTGTGAACGATCTGTGTGCTAGTATTACAAGTCCAAATAATGTATGCACGATCCAATACGCTGATGACACTAGTGTACTAGTCTCTGGCCAAGATTTCAACCATTTAGTTGAAAGTACTTTGAGCCTCTGCGAGAAAGCGTTTTTGTGGTTCGCTCGTAATGGATTATCCCTGAATACCTCAAAAACAAATGAGATTGTTTTTAAGTTAAGAAAAAAAATCGAAGCTACAAACATCACTTTCGCAGAAAGAATAGGAGTCCTTCTGACAGACTGTGGAAAATTCTTGGGAGTTCATATTGACCAAGCACTTTCCTGGGCTAAACATATAGAACATCAAGAAAAAAAGGTTAAACAACGCATCTTATAGCATTAGAGTACTAAGTAAGTAGGTACCTAGACCTCAAGACCCTAAAAAATTACGCGAATTTTGAGTCCATTGTACGTTTTCAAATAATTTTTAATTTAAGAGTAATAAAATTTTAACTGTAGCCGCAATATATATTCAAGAAATTCTAATGTTAACATTTAAAAATATTGACAATTTTATCGGTAACCCACGAAGTGACTATAACACAAGAAATAGAAATATAAATCTTCTGTATCCAGTCCATCATCTCACGGTTACCGAAAAAAATGTCCATTACAGCTGCACTAAAATATATAAAATTTACCACAAGAAATTAAAAGGTTAACGGATATAAAAGAATATAAAAAAAGTATTTATCAAGTGTTAATGCACTTAGAACCATATCACCTCCAACAATATTTTGGAATGTAAAATTATTATGTTACATGTTTGCCTCTTTGTTTTTTCTGTTTCGATGACGCTGTGACGTATATTTCACCTAACAGTGTGTAATACATAATCATGCACTGTTATTTTGTAATAAAGATTTATTGTTATTATTTTTATTATTATTTTACACAGGTTGCCCATGCCCATCTTCTAGAAAATCGTGAAATAAAGACCAAAACTCGAAGAGTAACCAAAATATTCGTATGCTCTTCTCTTTTGGGCAACAAAACAGATGATTGTTGATTTGTGATCTCCACAGTATTTGAGTATCCCTATCCCGTAATCACATAATACATTATCGTAGTCATGTTTCCATGCAGAATTATTTGACGTCCCTTGTATATGAGGGCGAATCTTGCGACATCTGTTGGGAGACTGCGAAACCACGTATCGCGCGCCGGTAAAGCTTTCGTTTTTCGACAGATAGTCTTATGTACCCGTGCCATCGTAGAGCCAGTTAGCTCGATGCTGAATAGATGTCACCGAGATGGATCTCGCATTTTTGGCTTAGATTAATAACGGTAGATGGCGCATAATTACACAACATGAAAGGGCTGGATGGAAATATTTGAGTACTAATTTGGTCTAGGTTTGTTCTACAGGGTGGCGCATCGAAAACGAAACAGACGCATTTACTGGCACCTCAGTTTTTTTTTGTTGAAAAACGCTCAGACCCGTCGATTTTGTTTTCGTGGGGGATACAACTTTGGCAAAAAATCACGTTAGCACGTGCAGCCCCCTAAGCGGGGGTGGCACCAGCCCCTAAATCTTAAATGGAAGGGGGGGGGTCGAGTGATACTTTATTTGAAAGGTCTATTAATTTCCTTTATAATGATGTAAAATTAATGTACTTCAGTTCAGTAGTTTTGAAGATTTATTGATTTAAAGCTTAAATAAAACTGATACATCATCATTAGTGGAGATCAATATATTTGGCAGCAAAGTAATTTAAAAATGAAGAATCAACTGAGGCAAGTAAATATTGAAAATGGCCACCATGACTCTCCATGCAATAATAAAAATGTTGCACAAAACGTTGCCGCACATTTTTCAATATTTGAGGAGTAATTTGAAGGCACTCATTCACAATTCTTTATCGCAGGTCTTCTAATGATGTTGGCTGAGTAGCATAGATTTTGCTTTTTAAATGACCCCACATAAAGAAATCCAAAGGTGATAAATCTGGCGATCTTGGGGGCCATACAATGGCACCTCTTCTACCAATCCATCGATCTGAAAATGTCTGATCTACATACTGTCGAACACGTAATGCGTAATGTGGTGGGGCACCATCCTGTTGGAACATCAACCTATTCGCAATGTACCGCCGATCATTCTGATTTTCAATTATGGCTGTTAATGCAGGATCTATGGCGTCTTTCAGTAATTCCAAATACATTTCACCGGTCAAATTTCCAGGTAAGAAAAAGGACCAACTAAATGATCGCCAAAAATACCAGCCCAAACATTTAATTTTTGTGGCTGCTGTGTATGAACCTCATGATAAATTCTAGGATTAGAATCGGACCAATATCGGTAGTTATGACGATTCACTACGCCATTTATGACAAAGGAACATTTGTCGAAGTAAGTGTTGAATAGAAAATGTTCATCGTTTATAATTCGTTCACTCATATCTTCAGAAAATTGTAATCGCCGATCAAAATCATCTTCATTAAGTTCTTGTACCAGGTGAATTTTATGCGGCTGAAAACTATGGGCCTTTCGAATCCGTTGGACAGTACGTCGACAAACACCACATACAGTCTGCAATTTGCGGGTACTTAACGTAGGCTCTACATAAACTTGCCCTAAAACCCCCACTTCTATTGCTTCGTTCCTTATGGGATTTCCAATGTTGCGTTTTTTATTGGCGACTGACCCAGTTTCCCGAAATTTAGCTACAAGTTCTAGAACATATTTTCGATGCACGTTACTGTTCTCATGTCACTCATTAAATATTTCTGCTGTTCTATTCGATAATTTCAACTCTTTCTGTTGTGGAATATACCATGGTTAATTTATGTAATAAAGCGTTACAAGTTAATTTAGCAACAAATTTTGGTCAAATTAATCGCAAACTATGATGTACTAAATTCCTATTTAAAATAATTACGAGATTTTTCCTTATCTTTCTTCAAGAAGTAACTTTTTTGCCAAAAAAAAAAAAACGCTCCAATAGCGATTTTCGACAACAAAATGATATACAAACCATGAGCGTAGTGAGAAAAGCATTTACTTATTAAGTAAATTCTTTTAGTCAAATTTCTTCTGAAAGTAGTACAAACTAATCTGATGTACCTATTAAAGTCTACTTTAAGCTTTAAATCAATAAATCTTCAAAACTACTGAACTGAAGCTTATGTATTTTACATCATTATAAAGGGAATTGAAAGACCTTTAAAATAAGGTATCACTCGACTTCCCTTTCCATTTAAGATTTTAGGGTTGGTGTCACCCCCGCCCAGGGGGCTGCACTGTGTTAACGTGATTTTTTGCCAAAGTTGTATCCCCCTCGAAACAAAATCGACGGGTCTGAGCGTCTTTCAAAAAAAAAACTGAGCTGCCAGTAAATGCGTCTGTTTCGTTTTCTATGCGCCACCCTGTATAACTTATATAGGATATTATGAGGGTGTCCCCCAGCGAACGATTAATCAAAAAGTTGAAGTAAAATACTTCTGAAAATTTGGGTTTCCAGTAGAATTGCTAAAATATTTTCTAGATGGATGTGCCGGAGGTAGACCAACTTGTTTAAT